AGTTCCAACTACTTCTGAGGCAGATTGAAGTGCCAGTATTTCTTTTTTGGTTGGAGTGTAGCGGGCCTCCGATTCTCTGTATCCTTGGCTCCACAATCCTCGGGTTCACCCCTCAGGTCTCACCTGGATCTTTCTGCCAGAGACTCCAGGTAGGGCCATTCTCCCCAGCTGCGGTGTAGAGCACATTCTTTACCTCTGGCCCTGTCCGGACTGGTCCAAGGGCTACTGCATGCACAATCCCCTGCTTGATCTGTTCAAAGGCTTGTTGCTGCTCAGGGACCCATGTGAAATCGTTATTCTTACTAGTCACTTCATAGAGAGGGCTTACAATTTGGCTGCAATTTGGAATATGCATCCTCCAGAAACCCACGACACCTAGGAAAGCTTGTGTTTCTGTTTTTCTCGTTGGTGGGGACATAGCTGTGATTTTGTTGATCACTTCCATCAAGATCTGGCAACATTCATCTTGCCATTTTACTCCTAGGAACTGGATCTCTCATGCTGGTCCCTTGACCTTACTTTGCTTAATGGCAAAACCATCTCCCAGGATTTAGAAGATCTTCTTCCCTTTCTCAAAAAAATCATCTGCTGTGTCACCCCATACGATGATGTCATCAATGTATTGCAGAAGTTCTGGAGCTGCACCCTGTTCCAGTGTAGTCTGGATCAGTCCATGGCAAATGCTAGGGCTGTGCTTCCACCCCTGGGGCAGTTGATTCCAGGTGTATTGGTGATTCTGTGATTCAGAAGCACCAGTTTGTAGAATTTAAAATCTCCCCTCAGCTTTCTTCCCCTCCTCACTCTCCTCCAGGTACTGCCTTCTGACACACTTCCATTAGCTAAGCTTTCTTTCAGAAGCATTCAAACAGTTTGCGAGAACCTAAGGAATTGCCCTAGCATCCAATACTCTGTTTTAAAGAAACTTCCCTGGAAAAAAACAAAAACAAAACAGAAAACCCCAAATTTTCTACTAGAAACACATAACAGTATAAAAGTTATTAGTTTAAATATATAGAAACTCTTTTCAACTCAAATAGTGCTTCCATGGTTTTGGGGTACAGATAAAAAGGCGAAGGGGACACTTTTATGCAGAATATATTGCAACAGCCTGAACAGTACTGTTAACGCTGTGATATCGTGACCTTTTTGTAGCAAAATGGCCTTAGCATTGCATGGTGGACAGATTTCTGTGTCTCAAATGCCCGGATCACTTCTCAGCTGAACTAATTCTTTTTGACTTAATGAAGGCCATGCCGTGTGTTCTCATGTGAGTGTTTAAGGCTGCTTCCGTTTCAAAAGCCTTTGCGCATACTCTGCACCTTCTGTCTGACATCATGCTGTCGGATGATTCATCCTCGTGGTTGGGTTTATTTTCTTGCTGATTATCCTCCCCAGACCCGTTTTGTTTTGATACTGGCTGAGGCTCCTTCAGCTTATGTACAATGAAGAGGTGTCTGGAGAGGGACACGTGAGATGTGTAGCACAGTCCACATTCCCTGCATTGGTATGAAGAGCCGTCAGATTTGTGCTGAGGAATATGTTCATGAAACTGGAGGAGATTTTCTGTCGTAAAGCCACAAACAGCACACTTGTGAACTTTAAAAACATTTATCTTTAGTTTCTTCAACGGCTGCGTGATTGCACCTCGTGGAGGCTTAAATTCCAGTACAGGTTCTTCCTGTTTACGCTTTGGACTGTGAACCTGAAAGAAGCCATAAATGGTGTCATATAAGCATAAACATGCATTTCTTTTCATAACTGCTTGTGACTTGCAAACTTCAAAACCTTTCCCTTGGTAGATTCCAGTACAGCTTTAGTAAATACAACATTGAAATAACACAAGCAAATGTATGTTGTACGTGTTGAAAAACTAGGGCTTTTCTTTACCATGAATTGCACATCAAATTTGGTTTATCAGCTCTGGTAGCTAATACACTGTATAAATTTGATTAAGTATTTGCCAGCATAACTGCACCCATGTACACACACCAATGAGACCTCACTTGTGTACAGAATGTAGAATATCCATTGAGGAGCTTCCCAGCACTGCCTTCTAGAAATCCATTTTAGTTACTTAGTATTATTTCATGCCTGAAATCTGACTTGACAGATCATCTCCTGATCGTCAGTAGCCAACTAACGTGTTACCGAAGGATGAATCAACACGCACAACTTTTAAACTAATTGAACTGATAATTTTTTATATTCTCCTTGTTATTCGTCTAACATGAATATTCCTCAGGAACTGTCTGCATCCCGTGGAGCTCAGCTATGCTCCATGATGTTTATGAAGACAATGTGTATAGCTGCTGGTAAGTTATATTCTCCACAACTCAGGGATCAAACCAAACAGAGAGTCTTTCCAAAAATATGTTCTAGTTCAAGCAAGACAGAATTTGATGCAGGAACCTCTGAGACATTTTTTGGGCTGTACTTCACAGCAGATCAGACTTTTATGGGATCATAATACCTGCATCTATTTAAAGATCCCATATATGTACCCACAAAAAAATCCACTCTCAGCAACTGCATGAATCTTTTAAGTGATTACCTTTGTGTCTTCTTTTACTTCCCTTTCTTCCATATTGGCTGATTCCATCATTTCTTTCACATCCGGGTCTTTAATGCCATGCATCAACTGAATGTGTTTTTCCAACATCAGCCGCTTGGTGAAAGTACGCCTTGAGTCTGGGCAGTGCCTACATAAACACAAAGCAGACACACACAGATGCCAAGCGTCACGCTGAACAAACGTCGCAGTATTCTGAAGAATATAAACAGGACCAGTAAATAAAACCAGACTAGAGGACAGACTATTAAAGCTGGCGACAATGTTTCCCAGTGAATTGCACAGCTAAGTATTACCAGAAAATGAGCACTGTTACAAAATAAAACTGAAATGTTTGAGCAATTTGTATTCAGAGCAAATGACACATTCTCTGAAGATAATAGCCAAATGGTGCAAAGTGTGAGCCAGAATAAAATCTGGGAGCATCTGAGTTGGTTCCTTGTACCTCTGCTAACATCACTCTATTTGACACTTTCACAAGTTCTCCTTAGTTTAAATTTCATAGGAAAAGCAACCAACGTCCACACAGGATGAATGCTAGCTCCAAACGACAGTTCTGCGTTCAAACCCAAATACTTCATCTCCTTGGAACTTGCAATTCCTTCTCAGTTCCCTTTCCAACCTCTAACTAACAAGCAGAACAAGCTTGTCTTTCACAATCTGTTTTGCTTTCCCACACAGAACCAGCTGCATCACTCCTAAACCTCTTGTGTGCCTTTGGGAAGTGTGTTTCTCTAAGCTCCAATGTTGTAACATATCGTACAGGTGGTGTGAGGAGGGATGGCTAAACAAGAACTGCAGGGAAAAAGTTAAATGGTAAAACTCCCTTTCTGAGTCTCTCCTAAAGTTTTAGCTTTTGAAATGCTGTTTCATTTAACTTTATTAAAAAAAAAAAAAGAAAAAAGGACAGCGCTGTAGGAATTCTGAAATGCAAAGAGACCCACAGTAAGCTTTCTGCCCAATGGGTCTGCAAAGCCCAGGTAGTTGCACTTGTCATGGCCCAAGAGACAGTGCATAGGCTAGCTAGCTCATGCAAGCTAGTTATGAGGCAGGGTACAATGCATGGGTTGTGCAGCAGCCAGGGTGCAGGGAGACAGGAGGTCACAAAGCACTTTGTCAGTGTGCTGTGACCGCACAGCAGTCTGAGTTTCCCCACCACTGGGCCCTATGCTTTCCGTGACAAAGCCCAGATCATGCTGGGGCAAGAGAAGGGGCTAGTAAGATCTCGGCCACAGAGAATGGCCACTGCTTGCAGACTCCTGCTCAGAGCATCAAACTGTTCCACAGCATGTAAATACCTACTGAAGAGATACAACAGCAATTTTGTATTATGTATCTTACCTGATTGACATGGATGTTTCTGTTAAATTACATACTCTCTCTCCAGTCACTTCAGCATCACTAGGTATTTTTAGACATTACACACTGTTCTACATATGAGAAAGACCCTACAAATGCTGGCTTTTGTAGATTAGAAGAGTGGGTTGTATTTGAGAGCCTATTGAAATTCAAGGCCTTGCTGTAGGACTGTCAGCCATGCAAATTCTCAGCTGCGCAGTTTAGGGTTTGCTTGCCATAGCCCCCAAACAGCAGCCTTTCCGTACAGGCATTCGCAGTAGCCCAATGGGTCTCAGGCATGCAGGTAACTTGGACACTTTGGCCTGCTCATCTGTCTAAATAACCAAATCGTTTGAATGAATGGGGCACCAGCTTTTATACATCCAGACAAGAAATTCAACTGACAGCGGTTATTGTGGGTTTATAGACTGTTTCTAAATAAATAAAAGTTGCACTTACGAGCATGTATAAACCCTCCTAATGCCTTTGTGTTTGATACGGTTGTGGCGACATAAACTATGGGATGAACTGAAAGATTTGTCACACTGTCGACATGGATGTTTCTTCATTTGCTTTAAAAAAAGGAGAAAAATACATTGATTAAAAAAACTCAGTGAAAGCTGTGCATGTGTTGAACCTCTGGGTAACAGGAAAGAAGCTTTACTTACCATGTCTGGTGCTGGATCTTCAAGTACATGTCACTCCTACACTGCACAAGTCAGATGGCTTGGACCAGTGTGTGTTACACACACACCTATCACCAGTCATAAACCGGTGTCACAGAATGGATGAAATGGATTTCCAAAGCAGCAAGGAAGATCAGTGGATTGTTTCTGGATCAGTAAGGCAGTACAGAGAGAGCTGCTTTCCCTATGAGGTAACCTTTCCCTTCCCAGCACCAACTACATCTGCAGCTGCTGACTGAGCGCCTACTAGCCATATGCAAGGAGGGCGAGGAGCATGTAGCAAGGACCAGCACAACATCACAGGCACCAACACTAAAAGGGCTCAGAAACATCATGAAGAAATGACAGGTATGGTCTGATGTCAACTTGAGGGATGCCAGCTTGGGGAATTCCATGGGGTTTATTTTAAAGTTTGTGAAGGGGAAGGAGAAAGAAAAGGAAGGAAGCTGGGAAGGATGGAATGGTCTCCAGCTATGACCTTCCAGCTGGACACAGCTAGAGGAACTCTAGTATCAGAAGAAATAACATCTCCAAACCCACAGACTAGACAAGCCCCAAGAATGAATGACAGGGTCCTGTCCCTTAAATTTCATCAGTCCTAGAACTCCATCCCAACAGCATGTCTTATCAACAGGAGTAGCTGCAGTGAGGAAGTAGAAACATTCCCAATCAGATTTCCTGCTTCCTTTCACTGGCAACTAGGCTGTTCCTATTGGAAACTGTTGCTGCTTTGGCAGTAACAAGGAAATGGAAACAACATCTTGGAAATGAAATCCAAACACTGACCAAACAAACTATTGAACACCTTTCCAGACTACTTTTCAGTTTACTGTTCAACAACCCAGCGGGGCCACACTCATCATACAGTATAGATTCCTGCCAGAATCAAGGCGTCCGGGGACAAAGAAGAAATGGATTTTATTGCAACCTCCCAAGAGAAATCTAGATCTCATGGACCCAGATACCAAGTTGTCCGGGTTTAGCCCTATCTGGCAATTAAGTACCACCCAGTCGCTTGATCACCTATCTCCAGGAGTTGGAGGAAAAGACAAGGACAGCTCGTAAAAGTTGAGATAAGAACTATTTAAGAATATAAATGAAAACTGTAGTGATATTATATACGAACAATACTACTACTAAGTAATTAAAAAAACCCCAGAAAATAGAACATATGATACAGTAGCTCACCACACAGGGACTGACACACAGACAGGTCCCAAAAACAGCAAACAATTCAGAGAGCCAGGAGATACCCCCATCCCCCCCCCAAACCACTAATAAAAGAAACTGCTTCTCTGCTAACAACCAGGCCAAGAGCTAACAAAAGGAGCTAACAACACAGCTATCAAGCTAGACAAAAGCCTTAACAATCCTCCTCCCAAATGCACATGTGTACACCCAGCCTGACCCCTGAGCCTGACTTACCATGGAATGAAACAAAATCCCTTGGCCGCTGTTGGCCTGCCAGCACTGTGTAGGAGAGAAGCTTGTTCCTGCCTGAAACCAGCACACAAGTGTTCCAGTCTGAGAGGGCTCATGCCTGCCAGGCAGGTACAAGTGAAGCCACAGACAGTCTCATACTATCAGTCAAGTATCTAGAAGGAAAATCACCATCCGTCCATGACTGCAGGTTCCATCAGGTGTGGGGTCACTCAGGACAGGAAAGGTGAAGTGCTGCGTGGGATTGTTTGGCGTCGAAGCCAGCACAGCTCAGGTCACTGCTGCACCTCTGGCAACCTCTGCAGGTTCGGGTGATTTCTGCTGTAGTGATTCCTACAACGAAAAACTCAGAACAAGGGTTAATTGCAGCAATTAATGCCCATCATGCAATTTAATTCATGGGCTATTTTCCCCCAGAATCAAATCTCCTTGAGGCACACATTGGATTTGCCCATCTTCTCTCATTACCCACCAAGCGTGCCCAGGGCCTTAGCAAAAGCAACCCCACGAATGGGTTTGTATTTGCCCAAGGCAGGAGTAATCCAGAGTTTTTCCCAAATTAGTTTTACCATGCACTACAGGGACTTTATCTCCCTCTACAGTACGTAAAAGTTTTGATTGGGTGGGCCAAGCACGACTGAGAGATTCTCTAGTATTGACTAACGAGGTTGCTTTTGCTAAATTTGTGTCCCAATTTTTGAGAGTTCCACCTCCCATTGCTCTCAGGGTGGAACAGTCCATTGCATCATTTGACCTTCCCAGAGGCAGGG